CACGAAAAGAAGCTGTGGAGTTGAGAATTTTCCTGTTCGCCGGATTGCAGCGACAGCAAAACTGGGTCGCCGATGGGTTTGCATGCAGTGTCCTTTCAGAAATCAGTCCAGGGCAAGCATACCCAAAAAACATCATACAACCTAGGGGCTGAGCAGGTAACCTTTAACCTTTTGGGGGCTTATATAATATATATATATATATATTCCTACTACAATTCAAAAGGCTAATCTTTTTTGGGTTAGGGTACTCAGCCCCTAAGACAACGATTAATTTTGACCGGCATTCTGCAACATGAACAAGATATGGTAGCAGGCCCCTCTCTGCTGTAAGGTCTTACCACGGTTTAGGGTTTAGGGTTTAGGGTTCTTCGTGCCTCAAACGTGCGACAGTTCGAGATGTCCAAGGCCAGATAAAGCCATCAAGCCATGACGTGAACCCAGAACACGAGACCTCGCAGGTTGTGGGGTTTAGGATTTGGGGTTGTGGCGATAGGGTGTTGAAGACTTGCGGTTTGCAGTTTGGGGTTCCGGGTGGTGCTTCTTGGATTTTGGAAGTTGGCATCAATCGGCCCTGAGCTGAGACTGGGAGCCCTCAGCCCTAAACTCAAAGCCCCACTGTTCCAGCTTGGTCTAAGCCCTTTGAGTGTAGGGTTTCGGGACCTTAAACCCTGAACCCATTGGTTTAGGGTTGCGGGACTTGATTACAGCCCGAAGATGAGCCCTAAACCTGAAAGCCTTAACACGAAACCCTTAAACCCCAAGCCCTAAGCCCTAAACCCTTTAAGCCTGTAGCCCTAACCCTGAACCTTAAACCCTAAACCCTTAAAACCCCTCTGCCCCAAACCCTTTAAGCCCCTCACCCCTCACCCTATAAACCTTAAACCCTAAACCCTAAACCCTAAACCATAAAACTTTAAACCCTAAACCCTAAACCCTAAACCCCCAAGCGCCCAAAGCGAAAGGCTGGGCGCGCGGGGCGCACCCGACCTGGGAAGTGTTTTCGGCTCTACACCCTCGAGGCACTGGGTTTAGGTTTTAGGGTTTAGGGCTTAGGGCTTAGGTTTTAGGGTTTTTTTTCTCAAGTTTTAGGGTTGAGGTTTTAGGGTTTAGGGTTTAGGTCTTAGGGCTTAGGTTTTAGGGTTTATTTAGGGTGGTTTCTCCAAGACGAAGGTAACACATCCCTTGGTTTAGGGGTTTGGGGTTTCGGGCTTAGGGTAAACCCTAAACCCCAGAACCTATACCCTAAATCCTAAACCGCGGGTTTAGGGGTTTAGGGTTTAGATGTTCAGGGTGTGGGGTTGAGGGGTCTAGGGGTTTGGTGTTCAGAGCTCATGGTTTAAGGTTTAAAGGACGGGGTTCAGAGGTTGGGGCAGTCTAGCGGTTTTGGGACCTGGGGCTTAAAACTAGGATGCTGAGCTTCGGGAACTCAAAACCGTAAAGCCTGGATGTTTAGGGCGGGTTTAGGGTTTAGGGTTTAGGGTTTAGGGTTTAGGGATCCAGATCTGAGTGAGGGCGAGTGCCCCAGACGGCTTGATTGTCCGATGCAGACCTTCGACAAAGAGCTTCCGGAGAGCACATACCCGGCGACTTGCCTTCATGGTTCCCCGAACCCTAAGCCCTAAACCCTAAACCCTAAACCGTGAGATCCTGCATCCCTAACCTCAAACTCCAAATCCCAATTCAGCCCCAAACACAAAACCCTAAAGCCCCCAACGCCACAACACAACTCCCTGAGCCTGAAGCCTAAATCTCCCCTCGGTTCGCTGCATCTAGGGCCGGGGATGGCGAATTTCGGCATGGGGGTTTAGGGTTTAGGGTTTAGGGTTTAGGGTTTAGGGTTTAGGGTTTAGGGTTTAGGGTTTTCGGATGTAGTAGGCACAAGGGTTCTATACGTGTCCATGCCCGGGTTCCACGAGGGCTTTAGATCGCTTAGAGGCCCGGAATTTTGTTTCGAGGCTTGCAAACTAAATTAATATAGAAGCCTGAATAATTACCAATATTATTGTTAGGGTTCCTTATGATAAATATACTATAAAGGAGCCCGAAACCCTCTTCTAATTATTAAGGCCCCCAAATTAGGGTTTTGGGTCTTAGACTCTAGGGGTTCATGGTTGCAGGGCCATGGTGTCTAGGCTATACTGCCAAGACTTTCGGGTTCCTAAACCCTACGTAACTGCAGGGTTTAGGGGCTTAGGGGTTTAGGGTTTAGGGTTTAGCCCTAAACCCTAAACCCTAAACCCTAAACCCTAAACCCTAAACCCTAAACCCTAAACCCTGCCTGCCAAGGAAATCATCCGAAGCAACCTCTCGGCGGTGGTGGGAGCCCAGGGAGTTGCGGCTTCAGTCGGATTCGGGGTTTAGGGTTTACCTTAACCTACCAAAACCTAGTTTTTTGTAGGTTCTTATTCGAAACCCTAATATGGAATTTACAGGGACCCTACAAAAAAGTAGGCTTTGTTAGGTTAAGGTAGGGTTTAGGGGCTTCAGTCGGATTCAGGGTGCGTCAAGCTTGCTGGCCTGGGATCCGAATTCGGGGCCGTGCGGGTGTGGGGTGGTAACCTGTGCTGCGCCACTGGCACTGCTGTTGATGATATAAATCCTGCATGACCTTAAGGACCCGAAACTATGGGAGTTATGGTACAATCCGTATTATGGGTAATGCAGGATTTAATTCATCAACCGCATTATGACCTGCATGTTTGGAGGCGGCTGCTGCTGCGGGGCCTACTCCTACTCCTAATATAGGAGCCTCAATAATTGCCTATACTATTTTGGGGGTTCCTGATTAGAATTATACTATAGCATACCCCAAAGCCTCATTCTAATTGTACCCACCTCCCAAACCCAGTCCTGCTTCTCCTCTTCCCACGACTTCTGCTCTGGTGGATCCTCTTGGCTCCAGCCCGAAATCTCCCCAGCGCCGGAGCCTTCAGGCTCTGGAAAGATCCTTAAAACACCTTTCAACCCCAACTTCGAAGCCCTAAACCCCTCTCTAAGCCCCCAAACCCGGGGTGGGAGGTGATCTCCCTGAAGAAGCTGGGCGTTGACGACATCGTCCACTTCGACTTCATGGAGCCGTGGCTGCCTCGACATCCTTTCATATTGATAACAGCAGCAATCCTGTGCCGATGTCGCGACTGCGAAGGCGAACTTGACACCAGAGCCCAGGCACCCAGACCCACGAACTATTGGATTAACTGAAACCTTGAAACAGATGGTATGTTATATAATATAGCATGATAGCGTCTCGTGTAGTATGGGGAGAACATGACTTTCGCGTTCCTGTTGGCATAGACATAGGCCCACCTCAAGAAAACCAACGTCTGAGTCATTTGCCCAACTCCCATCTGAAAGTTGAGGTGCTCTCACCCATTTGCTTTAATTACTATCCAATCGGTATGAGGCTGTAAGTAGTTTTGTTAGAGAGTTTGGTGGGCTGCCTTTCACTGTCATTCAGGGATAGGTGGTTCTATCTACCTATCTACCTACCTATCTACCTATCTATCTATCTATCTATCTATCTATCCATCTATCCATCTATCTATCTATCTATCCATCGATCTATCTATCTATCTATCTATCTATCTATCTATCCATCTATCATCAAGCCATGTAGTTAAGAAATTCCTAGTTTGCTGACTGAGGCACCTCTGAGTTGCACT